AGCCTGCGCAGGCCCCGCCCCCTGCGTCACCAGTCTCCCCACCCCCACCCCAACCCCGTGCTGTGCTCCAGGTAGCGGTGGCCCCAGCTGCTGGTAGTCGCAACCGGAGCTCCCCGGCGGACCGTGGGCCGAGGCAGGGGAGGAAGGGGCGTTCCCGCGGCCCCCGCCCCGCGCCTCGCCGCCCGTGATGTCACAATCCTGGCGGCCCCTGCATTCCCCGGCCGGCTTCGGGTGGCGGGCTGCGCGCCGGCGATCGAAGCGGGCAGCTCGCTCCTGAGTCATGGACTTCTCCTGGCCCCTCCTCTACCACTCCCACTCCCTCGCCGCCGGGCCCCCCCGCCGGGGCTAGCGCTCGACGGCGGCTCCGAGGGGGCGGGGCGCTGGGAATGGCTGTTCCCCCTTCTGTTCCTCTGCCTTGCTCGCCCTTTTACCTGAGGAGGCAGACGTCTTCCCCGCAGTGCTCATGGGGCATGGAGGAGAAGGGGGTAGCCAGTGTGGGCTGCCGAGAGCCGCCAGGCCCCCCAAGGACCGGCGCTGTCCCATGCTTTGGCATATCTGTGGATCAGGACGACATCCTCCCCGGCTCCCTGCGCCTCATCCAGGAGCTGCGGCCGCACTGGAAGCCGGAGCAAGTTCGGACCAAGGTAGCAGAGAGCGGGCGCGGGGCCGGGGCTGGGGCCCTGCCGGGTCTGGAACGGGCATGTGGTGGACGTCTGTCTGTTGTGCATCCTTCCGGGTGACCAGCCCAGGGGTGTACGGCTCCTGCCCTGGGGAGGTTTGGAACGGTGGTTGGTGTATTTGTTTCTCTATTTTGGAGCCTAAGCAAAACTGGGCTTACAACATCCTCACCTCTCCACCCACAGCCCCCTTTCTTGGAACTCTCCGGCATGCTGGAGGGCCACCTGCCCAGGGTCAGCATGCTGTATGTGCGGGCCCCACCCCCCTGTCGTTGCGTGCTGGTACCCCTCGTTGCCCAAAAGTGCGTCCCCAGCTAGCTTTGAAACCTAAGGAGACAGTAACTTTTTTTAGGGGGTGGGGGCACACTCATATACTGCTGCCCCTTCTCCACCCCTGAGGTGGAGCAAAGTCACCAGGCTTCCAGCTAGCTGCCCCAACCAGCCCATGAGGCACCCTGTGTGATTCCTGCTAGTACGGAACCCCTGCTCTGTGTGAAGCCCTACCCATTGCAGCAGGCTTTGGCTCAACAACCCCCACACAGGGCTCTTTCCCCAGCCCTGGCTGGACGAATTCTCTGGGGCACAGATGTGGGCAGAGCCTCTCCCACTGAGGAGCTCCAGGCCGACTTCCCAGTTGAACTGCATTTTCTGAAAAGAAACCTTCATCTGCCCACCCCCCACCCACTCACTCTGGGGGCTGCCTTGTGAAGAAAGGTGCCTTGAGGGGGGGTGTTAATTCAGTCAGGGCTTGCAGCTTGTGCTGGAGAGTGGTAGGGGGACTCTAGGCTGATGGGCATTCTGTGTGGCAAAAGTCAAGGTTTGGAGGAGGTTCAGAAGCTGACGTGGAGGCTGACAGACCCCTGGGGTTGGGGGTGGGGTTACATTTGCAAAATAAAAGGCCCAGTTTGATATAAAGACTGCCAGGGTCTCAAATAGTCCTGGAGTTAATTCCAGTATTGATCTAACATACTATCTGCCAGTTTTTCCCCTCTCTCTAGACCTCAGTTTCCCCATCTGGAATTGGTTCACATGTTCTGTAAGGTCCCTTCTACCTTTTCCTACTGAGCCCTGTAAATTCCATGGTTGCTTTCTTGTCACTCTACCCACAGAACCCACTCTCTCACCCTGGTGTCTCTTGTCTCTTCAGGTATGGAACTCTGAATGGCCCTAAGCACTTCTGATCCCCAGAGTCCTGGGGTGGGTGCCAACCTGCATACTGCTTGTACCTGTGCCACTGGATGGGGCAAGAGGTGCAGCTAAAAGCCCTTTGCCTGGCAGGCAGTGAGAGGAAGCTAGGTCAGAATGTACTTGTCCTGGGTGACTCCTTGCTCTCTTCTGCCACATTCTGGCCCATAAGGTTTCTTTCTGGGCTGGGGAGTGAGGAAGGGGAGGGGACACATCTACCTACCAAGTAGTGTGACAAGTAGTGTGACAATTCCTCCACTACAAATCCCATCCACTAGGGACAGACCAGGAGCCCTGGTTGTGCAGTGATTAAACGCTTGGCTGCTGACCAGAAGGTCAGCAGTTCAAGCCCACCAGCTGCTCTGTGGGAGAAAGATGCGGCAATCTTGGAAACCCTGTGGGGCAGTTCTGCTCTGTCCTATAAGGTCACTGTGAGTTGGAATCTACTCAGTAGCAACAGGTTTGGTGTTTTGGGTTTAGGGACAGACTTAGGAGAAGTGAATATGCCTGGCCTGGGCCCAAGCAACCATTTTTCTTTCTAGAACTCCAAAACCCAAACAAACGCACCCTGTTGAGTCGAATCCGACTCATAGGCACCTCTCTTTGGGTTTCCAAGGTGGTATCACCACAGAAGTAGATTGCCCAATCTTCCTTCCGAGGAATGACTGGTGGGTTTGAACCGCCAGCCTTCTGGTTAGCAGTCAGGTGCCTTAGGCACTATGCCATCAGAGCTCCTAGAACTCTAAACTCTACCCCAAAGCATTGGGGACAGGGTAGGGCATTAGACACAGTGCTTAGCTCTTTATTAATTGGGAGAGCTAAAGAACTGGGGGTTCTGTGTGGTTGAGGGTTCTGTGTGGTTTGCTGGAGCTGGGCCAATGGGGAAAAACCCTGCATCACTGCCCTTTCCCTATGCCTATGCACTGCCCTTTCCCTATGCTAGCGCTTCACCGATGGCATGACCAACAAGCTGGTGGCCTGCTATGCGGAGGAGGACATGAGGGACTGTGTGCTGGTGCGGGTGTATGGGGAGCGAACGGAGCTGCTGATTGACCGGGAGAATGAGGTCAGGAACTTCCAGCTGCTGCAAGAACATGGCTGCGCTCCCAAACTCTACTGTACCTTCCAGAATGGGCTGTGTTATGAGTACATGCCTGGCATGGCCTTGGGGCCTGAACACATTGGGGAGCCCCAACTCTTCAGGTGAGAGGATACCCAGAGTCCTACTCCTTTCCACTATCCCTTAGGCCTGGGGCTTTTAAATTTTTGGTCAACTTCCTTGGTGCAGAGTGGGTCCATGGTTGAAAGTCATCAGATCTTTGAACTCCCTGAAACTGCATATGTGTTCCTGTGCATTGCTCTGCAGAGAGGAACTACAGCTTTCTATAGATTTTCAGTGGGCTCTGCTAGAAGGCTGAGTTCTGGGGGAGGAAATTGAGAATTTTGGTGAACATTAGACCAAAGGAGCTGGTTCCCTAGGAATTAGCATACAGGGATCTACTTCCTGGCCCCATGCCTCAGCCCTCTGCCCGCTCTAGGTTTGACCTAGAAACATCTCAGGGCCTTGGAAATGAAATCTGAGCCAAATCCTCAGGGCAGTCAGGGTTCCCTTCTCCTCCCCTCCTATGGTCAAGAACCCAGGGATACAAGGAGAGTGGCCCCTATCTAGGGTGAGCGTGGTTCTACCCGGAGGAAAATGCCATCCCTCCTCCCCATTCCTCCTCCCTGTCTGAGCTCCCTCTGGGCTCCCTGACAAGGTGGGAGCTGAGGTTTGGGTTGCTGCCAGTGCTTCCTTCCAGAGGCTCCTAGAAACCTATGGTCCTCTGGTAACTGTTCCCACAGAATGCCTGGATGTGTTGGGCCCAGGAACTGGATATAACCTAGAAGCTTTGTGGATGCCCTTTGGGGCTTAGAAGGGGGAAACATATTCTCTCCTGACAATGCCAGGGCAGGGATATTCAGCGAAATCCTCTTTTCTCCCTCCAGTGCCAGGCCACTCAGGCTATGTTGAGGCCAAGGCCAGCTAAAACTTACCCCTGACTGCAGGGACAGCAGCACAGGGGTCTTACTAGGACCCTGGGAACCTGTCCTGTCTGACTCAATGGGCAGGAGACCTCTGCAAACTGAAGGGAAGCAGAATCCACCTAGGGGGAGAACCAGGTTCTAGGAAACAAACAGTTGGTGCTCAACTACTAACGTAATGGTTGGCCAGTCGAACCTACCCAGTGGCACTAGAGAAGATCTGCTTCCGTTAAGATTTCAGCCACGGAAACCCTATAGAACAGTTCTACTCTGTAATACATGGGGTCTCCATGAATCTGAAACCACTTGACAGCAGTAGCTTTTGGTTTTAGAGGAAACCATGGACTTGGAGGAAAGGAAGCTGAGAGTGCTCCCCTCATGCTCCAGAGCACTGCCTCTGGGGCTGATAGAGCCCCGGGATACTCATGCTGGCTTGTATGTGTCTGGAAGCTCTGGTAGCATAGTGCCTAAGGCATTTGACTGATAACCAGAAGGCTGGTGGTTCAAACTCACCAGCCCCTCCTTGGAAGGAAGGTTGGGCAGTCTACTTTCCTAGTGATACTGCCTCGGAAACCCAAGGAGGGGTCGCTGAAGGTCGGATCTGACTTGACAGCAGTGAACTTGGTTTTTGGTTTTTGTGTCTGAGGGAATGGGACTATGCAAGCATGTGCAAGAGTCATTTCAGGCTCCAGCTGAGCAGCTTCAAATCCCCCAGCCTGGAGATGTGAGGTCAAGGAAGGATAGGAGTAGGGGATGGGGAGACCCTGTCCTGGCTTCACCATATTCCTCAAACCAAAAAAAAAAAAAAAACAAACACACTGCATGGAGTTGGATCTGACTCATAGCGACCCCTCCTTGGGTTTCCTAGGTGGTATCACTATGGAAGTAGATTGCCCAACCTTCCTTCTGAGAAGTGGCTGGTGGGTTTGAATCGCCAGCCTTCTGGTTAGCAGTCAAATGCCTTACGCACTACGCCACCAGAGCTCCTAAGTCTTCTGCAAATAAAGCTGAAATACTGGCAGATCCTCAACACTCCCTATCTCCCTCTACCTAGGTAAATCTTATGCTGTCACTCATTGTCTCATGGAAATAATTGTCATCGTCAGAGAGATTGAAGATGGATTTAGGTTTGATAAGGAGGAGAACTGTGCATTTAGGGGAGGGCCAGAAATTGGGATCAGTGTAGGAGGTTGGCCCTTCCTTGATGATTTTCCCACAATAGACCATGATCTCTCTGAAATGAAGGTGGATCTCTGAGGTAAAAGAAGGAGGAGAAAGCCTGGGAAGCCACCCTCCCCATCTTTTCCTGAATCCCACCCCCCCGCCTGAACCTCTGCCTGCTGAGGCTTTGCAGCATAAAATGCTGAGTGTTGAGGTTCACTTTCATTGCTATTCCAGACAACAGCCCTATTGATATTCAAGAAAACGCTACCTTCATGCTCTGTTCAGAATCTTCCTTTGGGAAGGGAAGGCCTGGGTCTCAGGTCCCTTCTGCTGCCTTGCCTAAACCTGGGCTGCTCATTGCTGCCCCAGGCCTCTGGCCACTGAAACCTCAGCCAAGAAAACCTCTTCTTCCCCCAACCACTCCCTTGCTGACTCGCCACTGACTCCTTTCACCCTTCAGAGGGTGAGGGCCTTGGGGGTTTCAGCAGGAGCTCTGAATCTGCCTTGTTAGTGAGTGTCCCTGGGATAAGGTTTCAACAGCTAATACCTTTGTTGTCTTTCCCAGTGATTATTATGCCAGCAACAGGCAGAGGCAAAGGAAGCTTGAACGTTGGAGGCTCGGCAGACTGGTGGGGGTAGGGTTCCAGAAGGGAGGACTGGGTGAGCCCAGCTGGGACTTTGGGTTTCCGATGTTGAGGTCCTTATCTAGGCCCTTCTTCTCTGACCCATCAGGCCTCCATCCGCCCCCGCCTCCTCTCCAGCAACCTTCCCCATCCATACTTTCTTCTCTCCCCACCGCCCCCTCCTTCTCTCCCGGGACCTTGGATAATGTCCATGGGAGAACTTGAAAATAGAACGCTGGTTTGTTTTGCGTCCTTGGCACCCAGCCACCAGCATCAACTCCCTGCAGCCGAGGAAGGGGCTGCCCTGGGCCAGCCTGTCTCCCTCCCTACCTTGGCCAGCCTGATAAGAAGCGGGCATTTCTTCCCTGCAAGGCATCACCACCCCCTAATCCCTTGGTGGGAGGTGCCCTACATTCACCTCCCCACCACCACCCCAGAGAATGGGTCAGAGTCCAGGGGGTGGAGGGGTACCGTTCCCATCCTCAGGTGCCCCCTGTTCCTAGGGATTGCTGTGGCTATGCAACCTCAGCATGGAGCAGGTCATTGACTTGTGGCCAACAGCCTACTGCTTACTCTTCTACTCCCTGGAGCAGCCCCAGCTCTGGTTTTGGAAAGGTAGCCGCTAGGCTAAAGGTCTTAATTTATTTTTATGCCTTCTGCTGAGACCTGCTGTCCACAGGGCTTAGGGCTCCTAAGAAACCAGTAACAGTCCCACTCTTAGTCCTCTGTCTGGTCCTTCCCTTTCTGGTCAGGAGGGGCTGAGCTGGGGAGGGCATGCCCCAGCACTGATATCCTTCTCTTCCTGTTTCTGCTGTAGATTAATCGCCTTAGAAATGGCAAAGATCCACGCCATCCATGCCAACGGCACCCTCCCCAAGCCTACCCTCTGGCACAAGATGCATGACTATCTCACGCTTGTGAAGAACGAGATCAACCCCAGGTAAAAAGATCTGGGAGGGCCCAAGGCTGCTATTGGCTCTGCTGTCTTAATATGATCCCCTGCCCCATTCTTTTGGTTCCAGCCCATTCCCAGGAGGGCTTAGAAGCTCACTTCCTCCTAGAGCCCCTTTAAATGGGCTTGCTGAGCCTCCATCTCTAAGCAGAGCTGGGCCAATTGATTAAATGCCAGGAATTTAGATCAGCAGTTTCATAACTATGTGCTCATTTGTCCTTGGGTCTTCTGATTGTGGCAGAATTAGGGTTGGGGACAGCTTCTCCCCATTTTATTCAAAGGAATACTGAGGCTCAGAGACAACGCTTTGCCTAATATCACAGGGCTAGTAAGAGGCAGGACTTCTGTTTCACAGCCCTGGGCTCTTTCTACCTGACCTGCCTTCTGAACAAATAGGAGGGCAGGGCTCTCTGAGAGTGGGGTGTGGCTGAGTTGACAGTCAGTTAGAATTTAACCCATCAGCTGACAAGCCCTTAGTACATCACAGTTCCTTCTACTTGCTGGACTGCTCTTGTCCCTATGTACCTCTGGGGACCCTGCTCTCTCCTCCTTGTTCAGACCAGGACTTTGAACTGGTTCTTCCCAGTTCAGTCGTGGCTGACAAAGCAAAACCAGAACAGACCCAAATTTGTAAAATGTGGGTAAACCAGAACCAGTACCAGAAGGAAAAAAATTACAGGTTGATGCCCTACTAGAAACTTAATCTCCCACTTAGAAAACAAGGGCAAAGTGTGCATTGCATATGAGTCATCTTTCTTGACCAAACCAAAAAAAAAAAACCAAACTCATTGCCATCGAGTCGATCCCGACTCATAGTGACCTCTCCTTGAGTTTCTGAGGTGGTATCTCTACGGAAGTAGATTGCCCAATCTTCCTCCTCCCTTCTGAGCCTTTTGGTTAGCAGTCAGATGTCTTAGGCAGTACACCAGAGCTCCTCTCTCTTGACTGTTGTTGTTGTTGTTATGTGCCGTCGAGTCGGACCCAACTCATAGTGACCCCTCCTTGGGTTGCCGAGGCGGTATCACTACGGAAGTAGATTGCCCAACCTTCCTTCTGAGGAGTGGATGGTGGGTTTGAACCACCAGCCTTCTGGTTAGCAGTCAAGTGCCTTAGGCACTATGCTACCAGAGTTCTTCTCTCTTAACTAGCAGAGTCAAAACAACAGTGACCCACTCAAAGATGGCTGCTGATCACGTACTGCTTTGAATGTGTATTGCTTTCCACAGTCCTGGTAATAATCCTGAAGGGGTTTACTACGCCTCTTCCAAGTCTCCAATTCCAGGGCTTCAATCTGTAATTTTTCCCTTTCCAGTTTCATTCCATTTCACTGAAATTTTAAAAATTCATGTCTGTTCCAATTTCACTTTGTTAGCCATGACTGCACCGGTTCGAACAGTTTCAAAGCCCTGGGCCAGACTGACAACTTGCTGTTTCCTTCACTGCTCTTTCTAGGGGAGGAGGCACTCCACCCATCCTGCCATTGCCTTTCCTCAGATAGGATGGGGTTCCCTGAGCCTGCCTTTAAGCTCCCTGGCCAGCACTCTGAAAGTCCTGCTAGCCTTCAGATACCTGACTCCCCAACATGCCCTTGAATGCTGAGAAAGGGATGGAGGCATGGAGAAAAGGATAAGGGCACCCCTCCCCTTTCCCAAAAAAAGGCAGTGGTGAGTCCCTGATTCCTCCCTGGGGGGACTGAGCATTGTCTTTGTTCCAAAAGTTCTTGGGACTAGAGTGCAGTAGAGGTTTTGGGGCAGAGTATCCCTTCTTTAAGATGGCAAGACAATAATGAACTCTATCCCTATTGCTGCACTGGGGAAATCTGCTGCAAAGGAACTCTTTAAAGTGTTAAAAAGCAAAGATGTCACTTTGAGAACTAAGGTATGTCTGACCAAGCCATGGTATTTTCAGTCGCCTCATATGCATGTGAAAGGTGGACAATGAATAAGAAAAAACAACGAGGAATTGATGCCTTTGAATTGTAGTGTTGGTGAAGAATACTGAGTATACCATGGACTGCCAGAAGAACGAACAGATCTGTCTTAAAAGTACAACCAGAATGCTCCTTAGAAGCGAGGATGGTGAGACTTCATCTCATGTATTTTGAACATGTTATCAGGAAGAACCAGTCCCTGGAGGAGGACATCATGCTTGGTTGTGGAAAAAGAGGAAGACCCTCAATGAGATGGATTGACACAGTGACCTCATCAGGCGGCTGAACCATAGCAATGGTTGTGAGGATGGGCAAAACTAGGCGGTGTATCATTCTGTTGTATATATGGTCACTGTGAGTCAGAATGGACTCAGTGGCACCTAACAACAACATCCCTATCATGAGTGTGTCTCTGTCACATGTGCACACATGTATGCACATACACATGTGCGTGACTCCATCTGTATTCTCCTACTTCATTGATTGTCAAGCACTGTTTTGGGAATATTTGGGATAGCTTAAGCCTGCCCTCTTTTTGACCATGTTCACGTCTTCATGTCAGCTAGGACTGGGACAAGGACTGCCTTCTTCCTTAGGACTAGGACAGCACATGGAGCTCAGGAACCTCTTGTATGGGAGCCAACAGAGTCCTCTAATCACTCAGCTCTCCCCTTTCATTGGACAAATGGAAAAACTGAGACCCACAGCGGGGATGGGACTCGCCACAGATCAAATGCTGATCGGTGACAGCTCAAGGACCAGCAGTCAGGCCTCCTGATGCTTAGGGTGATCCTTGATTCTGCAGCTTCTCTTGACTGCACTATTGCTGGGTAACCTTAGGGGAGGAGGTAATCCCTGGAGAAGAGCTGACCAACTTGCTTTGCTCATGTCAGACCTTTGACCTTGGATAAATCAAGTTGCGTAACTTCTTTGGTCCTGCCCTAAATTTGCCTAATCTGCCCCAAAGCAGGCTGATGATGAGCAATTACAGACTTAGATAAAGCACCTTGAGTTCCTGTCATTGCCTAATGGTCTTGATTTGTGAAGGAATCTTCATTTCATAAACATGGATTGATTGGGATTTAAAACAATATGAAACATGAATATGACATTGGCCCTGCCCACAAGGAGCTTAGGGACCATCTGGGTAAATAGAACATGCCCACACATAGCTATAAAACAAGGCAGGGTGTGTAGTTTATGCTTGAGGGGTGAAAATGAGTGAAAGTCATCTTGGCAGAGATGAGACGGGAGGCCACTTCAGGTGAGGGGAATGACACAAGCAGGATTTTCTCAGGAAAGATGAGTGGATGAGGTTGCTGGAGCAGTTCTTCAGGAGGGACTGAAAGGGGTCGTCGGAGATAGGGTTGCAGAGGTGAGCTGGAGCCAGATTGTGAGGGACCTTAGATGCCAGCCTAAGGAACCAAGGTAGTGAGAGTCACTGGGGGTATTTGAGCCAAGGAGCAGCCTGAGCAGGACTGTGGTTTAGAAAGACAGCTCTTCAGCATTGTGAAGGACAGACTTGGGTAGGTGAGAGGAGTGAAAATAGGAAGACCAATTAGGGGAATGTTGTCATTGAATGAGCAAAATCTAGGATTAGGGCTACCACACTCTGAGTGTCACATTCCTCTGGGGTGCTCTCTAAGTGCCCAGTCCCAGGCCCTATCCTGGAGATTGACTGGGAGATCTTGCATTAGATCCCAGGAATCTGCATTTTGACAAGCTCTCCAGGTGATTGAGGCAGATGGTTAAGAGAGACCACGTTTCAGAGCAACATTGCCTGAAATGAAATTTTGCCTGAAACTTCATCAGCAGAATGGAGGTGAGGAACATGTTCAGAGACCTTATGGAAAGATTTGGCAGCCTTGGTGTTTGGTTGGAGATTGGGGCTGGGCATGGAGGTTCCAGGATGGTTGGGAGAATATGGGGCTGATGAACTGATTCAAGTCATCAAAAGGAGATACTGGTTGGTTGGTGTGAGGGTGAAGGTGATGAGTCAGTAAACTCCAACACTTCAACAAAGTCCACCGTGGGGAGGAAATACTTTTCCCTTGCCCAGCCCTGCAAGGAGGAGACTTGCCAGCTAGCAGTCCCTTCACATGAAGAATCCCTGAGTCAGGCATTCCTGGAGAGGCCCCGGCCCCTTCATACCCATCATGAGGGACAGGCAGAGGTGGAGCAGTTGTTCCTGGGGTGTGAATGTCTCTGTGATGTAATGTGGTTACAGGCAGTTCCCAGATTACCAACAAGTTCCATTCCTAAATCTGTCTTTAAGCAAACAGTTAGTTATGGTCATATCTAACATCAGTTAGTCAAACATTTGTCTCAGTATACAATGTACTTTTCTACACATGAAAAACATAGAAACACTTCCAGGTACACTAAAACATCTTTAACATAATAACACAGTAATAATAATAATGTTTTGATGTGAGTGGCAAAGTAGTACCTGTTTGTTATTACAAACCATTGTATGTATCTTGAATTTTCCGTATAATAGGTTTTATGGGGCATTGGTTCGTAGCTACAGGTTGTACGTCAGGCGTTTATAACCCAGGGACTACCTGTACTATCTGCATACTCCACAGCCTTGAAAGAGTCTGGTGGTGTCAGGACTGAAGTTAGCAAGTCTAGCAGTGTTTCAAGTGCTCAGGGGAAGACAGCCCAGCAGCTGAATGAGGCCGCCCAGGAGATAGAAGGCCTGGGGTGTTGCCACACTAGCCATCTGTGTGGCCTTGGGGTGGGGTAGGGTGGGGGTCAGACGGAGATTGGGAACTGGGCAACAGGAATCTTGGATATCAGAAACGTTTTCTGGCAAGGACTTGGGCAGACTAAGAGGAGCCCTGTTGGTGCCCTGGTTAAAGCATTCAGCTGCTAATCAAAAGATCAGCACTTCGAACCTGCCAGCCACACCGTAGAAGAAAGATGAAGCAGGTTTAAACCTCATTGCCATTGAGTCGATTTGACTCATAGCGACCCCTCCTTGGGTTTCCAAAGTGGTATCTCTCTGGAAGTAGAGCCTTGCAAACCCTATAGGGCAGTTCTGCTCTGTCCTGTA